TCTCCAATCAACCACAGAAAATCAAAAGTAGTGCTGAGGCTCCAATGATAGAGCCTAGGTTATGAGTTTAAACACCATGACTGGAAGAAGAAAAAGAGAGAGGAGAGAAGAGAGAGGGGAGAGAGAGAGAGAGACAGAGAGACAGAGAGAGAGAGAGAGAGAGAAATGATAAGAAAGAAACACCAAAGCTGGGCGCACATGGCTGAGATCTGAGGATCACAGTCTAAGCCAGCCCTCACAAGAAAGTTCATGAGACTCTTATTTCCAATAAACTACTCAGAAAAAGCCAGTAGTAGTGCTATGATTTAAGTGGTAAAGCACTAGCTTTTAGCAAAAGACGTTCAAGGACAGTACCCAGGTTCTGAGTTCAAGGCCCAAGACCCGCAAAAAAAAAAAAAAAAAAAACACTGAAAACAACTAGTCTTGTCCTTGGATCATGCAGTAGGCATATATGATATCAGAAGTTTGAATGTCTTGCCTGGATATGCCTTATTTCTTTATCATATGTTTATTGTCTTTAAGTAGTTGTACAGAGGAGTAACCATTTAACATGATAAATGCCTACTTTTTGTTTTGATTACTACACTTTGGTTCCCTGAGAGCTTTGGGCCATATTTTGCAATGAGTGTTTATATTTTAGCATAACTATTAATAGTGAAATATTGTGATCGTAGTAAGCATGTGGTAGCATTTATCAGTTGAATAATAAAACATGGTTTTTAGATTCTTGCAGAATAAGAGGCATTTCTCATGCTTTAAACTTTATTTTCTCTAAGAAGCAGAAGCTTGTGAAACAGTTGCCTTTAACTTCTATCTGCTTAGAAACAGATTCTCCTGCACTAGGACCAGAAAAACAGGTAAGTGTTTTTCTAATTTCTACATTATTTAGATTGTAGCTTTCATGTGAGCTGTTTTTAGTTTGTATTTTTCATTATATATGAATACAATGGAATCTTACTGCTTGGTTTGAGTTCTTTTCTAAATAATTGTTGCACTCCAGAGAATAGGATTGATAGGAGGCATAGCCTAATTTATATAATAAAAATTGTAAGTGTAGTAAAAACAGTGTCTGAAATCAGAAAGACTTCAGTCCTGTTACCCACCATCTGACTTTATACATATGACTTAATCTCTCTGAAATTTATTCATTTATAAAATAATGTCACACCATAAAGACTATGGTATCACATGAAGTAATCTATGTAAAAGTGTCTAGCAGTAGCTGGTCTATAGTAGGTGATCAATCAGTCTTAATTTTCCTTCTTTCAATTAGCATATTGTCGTGAGGTCGTATTTCTTTCAGTACAAGTATGGTTAAAACATACATTTGTGATCTTTAATGTAGTATAACATTTTGTTATTATAGACCACAAAAAGTCAATTTTTAAGTTTGTTACTTTTTCATATCACTGTCTTAGATTATAATTTTCTAAACTGGAGCCATAGTCTCTGCTTTATTTGCTTTAGATAGTGCCTATTACACTTAATGTGCAATTTAACAAGACCTGGGACTGCCCACCAGATCTTTTCCTCCCTGTCTTCCAGAGAACTGTCACTTGAAATTCAGATTGTTTTTAGAAGCAGTAGAGATTAGATATGATTAGTAATAAATGATAATTATTTGTGATTGAAATGGATATTTGATTAAGTCCAACTAATTACACATTTTATAAGAATGAAAAAGATACATGAATGGGAGCATATATATAATGCCAGTTATTTCTATTTGAGTGTATGACAGGTAGTATAGAATTGCCTTCCTGTTTAATATAAAATGGAAAGAAAAGGACCTAACAATTTTTTTTTTTTTACTAAACAGGAATAATATTTTTACTGTGTGTGAGCCCATCCTGGGGCTTGAACTCAGGGCCTGGGCCTTGTCCCTGAGCTTTTGTGCTCAGGGCAAGGGCTTTACCACTTGAGCCACAGTTCCACTCCCAGCTTTTTGGTAATCAATTGAAGAGTCTCACAGACTTTCCTGCCCAGGCTGGCGTTTCAAACTGCGATCCTCAGATCTCAGTCTCCTGAATAGCTAGGATTACAAGCATGAGTCACCGATGCCCTTCCCAGGAATAAACCTTAAATGCAATTGCAGCTCAGTTTTTTTGGGGTGCCAGTTCTTAGGCTTGAACTCAGGGCCTGGACACTTATCCACAGCTCTACTTCTGGCTTTTTAGTAGCTAATTGGAGAAAGGAGTGTCATGGACTTTCCTGCCTATGCTGGCTTCAAACCATGATCCTAGCTCTCAACTTCCTGAGTAGCTAGGGTTTTAGGCATGACTCCCTGGCACCAGGAACAAGTGAATTTTATGTTTGTATTTAGTCATTTTGATAAAAAAGAAAAGTTTGTAGCAAGGTATTCAGTAAACTTTTATCATGAAACTTGTTCTGAGTGTGATAACTCATGGTTACAATTCCAGCACTTGAGGGCCTTGCTATGCTACATAGCATGAGCCTTTCTCAAAACAAAAGAAAAAGCTACAGATACAAAGTTAGAAATCACAGAATAATCATAAGCATGGATATAAACTGTCACCGAAAGGTTTCCACCATAGTATAGTAGGTAGGAGCATAAACTGAAGTCTGATTGGTTGGGTCTAACTCAGATGGACTGCTTTCTAGCTGATTAGGACTCCTTCTTGCCTGTTAAAAGGAGATATTAATGCTAATGGTACTTATCTTAGAGTTATTTTGAGGATTAAATGAAATATTCCATGAGAAACTTAGAACAAATCTTTATCAACAAAAAAAGCTACTAAATATAAGTCTTAGAATCTATAATCAACATAACAGCCATACTTGTCTCTCTCACTACCTGCCCCAATTTAAAACTTTAATTTTAATTTAATAAATATAAAAAAGTAAAAGCCAGGCACTAGTAGCTCATGTCTTTAATCCTATCACGATTTGAAGTCAGCCTGGGCAGGAAAGTCTGTGAGACTCCAAAGTGCTAGCCTTGAGCAAAAAACAAAACATAAAAAAAACTCAGACATAACTGCCCAGACTCCAACTTCAAGCCCCAGGACCAACACAAAATAAAACAAAATAAAAAATATATGTGTGTGTGTAAAAAAAATAAAAAGGGGTTCATCAGTTGTTCTTATCAACCCATTTTTTTCTGTGTAGCTAGTCTGTAAGGATTTGCTCTCTTGAGTATGGTATTGTGATTGCAGTCTAAACTTTGCTCTGTTTCAGACAAGGAATGAGCCCTCCAACATTTCTGTTTCTGCGGAGTATATTGCCCAAGTGAAAGGGATCTCAGTGGAAGAAGTTATAGAAGTGACAACACAGAATGCATTCAAACTGTTCCCCAAACTTCGACATCTGCTCCAGAAATAGCATCAAAACCACCCATTGCAGGACAGCAATAGGGGGCAGCATTTACAAAAAAACAAACGTAGATTATGAATCTGTACTGAAGAAGCCTAAAGGGATACCAGTTATAGTTTCAGATAAATTATCTTAGAAACAGGACAACTGAAACCTTAGGTTCTGACTCTAACTTCAGCTACTTTTCACTTAGCTAAATCCTGGCAAGAGACTGGAAAAGCATTTCTTGCTTTTTCTTACCCAGCCCACTAAATGGAGCCACTGTGCACTATCTGAATCAGACAGTCAGTTCTGGAATGGGGCTTTGCCAGGTAAAAGTTGGCCCTCCCGTGATAAAGGGGAGCAGGCCACACTCAGATCCTTCACTCTTGCTTGCTTTCATAGGATTTAATCAGTAAAGAAAGTGTCTGTTTCTACCAGAAATCTCTTTCCTGAGTATAAAATTGAGCCTTTAGTACTGACTTACTTCTCTTTAAAAACATTGACCTTAGATTTTTACTCCTGAGGCCAATGTTTTGTACAGTCATTATTAAATAATGAAGCCTAAAATTTGCTTAACAAACTGATTTTATGTTCTAAATTCTGTCAAAAATGTAAAATATAAATGACACTATTAAAAATGAGTGTGACTTTCTTTGTATGTAGCAATATTTTATGTTTTTACATTTAAAACATCTTATGTGAAAATAGAGTTCTACAACTAGGTGCTGGTGGCTCATGCCTTAATCCTAGCTACTGAAGAAGCATAGATTTGAGGATCAAGATAGAAAACTCCATCAGATTTTTATATCTGGTTAACCATCAAAAAGCTAGAAGTGGAGCTGTGTCTCAAGTTGTAAGAACACTAGCTTTGCTTGAAAATGCCAAGCAAGAAAAAGAGGACCTGAGTTCAAGCCCCAGTACTGGGGAAAAAAATCTATCTACAGATAGATGATGATAATGGTTGCCCAACAATGTGAATGTACTTAATGCCATGACTCCATACTATTGACTTTGGGCAGTCTAGAGAGTTTAGCTTGGGAAGGCTACAATGTTGCCTGCATGGTCTAGCCCCAGTGGTTAGGCTGATGGAATTTTCATGGATCTAGTTCAGTGTCAGGAATGTGTATTTTCAACCCTCCTGCAGAGGGTTCCATTTTTCTAAAAATGGAAAGTGAAACTGTCAATCTTATTCCCTAGATTTTCTTATAATGATGACAGATTTTCAGTTAGAAGCCAGAAATGTAAAGAAAACAGCTGGGTTTTGGGCTGGTGTGTGCAGATACAGCAGCCCCCATTTCCCAAGGCAGTGACTCTCAGGGACTAGCGTTGTAGCTGAAATTATTGTTTATTTTTTATTTTTAACATTATTAGTAGTTGTACAAAGAGTTTCCAATTCCATAACTCGGAATTTATTAGTACAATGTATCTTGATCAGTGTCATCCCTTCTAACATTCTCTCTCATTTTCCCTCTCCTTACCCTCGTTACATAGTTCAAATTTAACCATGTCCAAATCTAACACACCCTCTTTCATTCCTGCTTTTCATATTTCTTTTGTGACTTCTTTCCATTTTGTGGATTTTTTGTCACTTAGTTTCTTGATTTTAAATGTCAGGAAGTGGGAGAAGCACATTGAATTTGTATGAATTGCTTAGCTTCAACCCTAGAGATGGTCATCAGCCATTAGCCCTGAGGGTGATGATGTCTTACAATTCATCAGTAGCCACAATTCATTATCTACTTTATAGTCTTTTCATTTAAAAAGGTTTTTTATTGGAGACTCGGGACAAAATATACCCCTTGGAATCAGATAAATGATCAAGTAGCTCCAAAAGTATTACATAAGTCGGGCGCCGGTGGCTCACGCCTGTAATCCTAACTATTCAGGAGGCTGAAAGATTGAGGTTCAAAGCCAGCCCAGGAAGGAAAGTGAGACTCTTATCTACAATTAACCACCAGAAAAATAGAAGTGGTGCTGGGGCTCAAGTGGTAGAGCATTGACCTTGCGCTGAAGAGCTCAGGGAAAGTGCCTGAGCCCAGAGTTCAAGCGCCACAACAAACCAAAACCACCACAACAAAAAGCTATTATATAAAACAAATCTCAGGGCCAGTCATGGTGATGCATACCTATAATCCTGGCTACATAGGAAACAAAGTTATGAGGCACACAGTCTGAGGTTAGTTTTGGCAAAAGCTCTGTAGAGAAGCTTTTAATCAACTCCAGTGCCTAAGGACCCACAGAAATTAATTCAGAATCTCTGCAATCAGGGCATGGAGGGAGATATTTCTAAAAGCTCACCAAGTATTTCTAAGGGGTAGGAAGAGTTGAAAACTATAGAGTAGAAATGTAGGAACTCATTCAGGAAAGGTGTTTCTAAATTGTAGTGCTTTCCAAACCTTAATGTATATAAGGTCACTATGATCTTGTTAAAGACAGATTCTACTCTACTAGGCCTTGGGTGAATTCTGTGCTCTGTGTTTCCAACAACTCCCAGATGCTGCTGATACTGTTGGTCCATGGACCACACTTGGAAGTAACAAGGCAAGAACTGGGGCTTCAATGGGTATGTTTTTTTTTTCATGCTCACTAATAAGTATTTTCATGGCAGAGTTCAATCTGCTTTAGCTGTGGTCAGTGTAGATTCTAAGGAGGTAAATTTTGTAGAGGCTCAGAGGGAGGGAGGAGGTCAGATCTGAGATGAATGGGAAGAAGCCTCCAGGCAGCACAGGACCCTCCTGTCAGGTATCCATCCATCCACCCATCCATCCCACATGCCCAATGCCTTTATAGAACTATTTGTGGTTCTGTGAATTTGCCCTATTCTCTTACCTTTCTTTCATCTAACTTCAACTTATGAAAGATTTCACTTAAATACCACCTCCTGGATTCCTTCCTTTATACTACCATTATTACATATTTCTTCCTTACCTTCCTCTACACCTCTGTATACCCTACAATATCCCTAAAATGAGGATCCTATGGCAGGAAAGACATAATTTTTTTTAGAAACAGCATTTCATGGGGCTGGGAAGGTGGCTCAATGGTAGAGTGCTTGCCTTGCATGCATGAGGCCCTGGGTTCGATTCCTCAGCACCACATAAGCAGAAAAGGCCAGAAGTGGCACTGTGGATCAAGTGATAGAGTGCTAGCCTTGAGCTAGAGCTGAGGGACAGCGTTCAGGCCCAGAGTTCAGGCCCCACGACTGGCAAAAAAAAAAAAGGAAGAAAAAAAAAAGAAACAGCATTTCATTATGTTGTTCCAGACTTGTTTGCTAGAGCACAGGGCAGGCTTGCTTAAGTTCCTGATAATAACCGTCTCCTTTGGGCAAAGGTTGGGTTGCTTATGATTAGGGACCCTCAGTTACAAGGTGTATCCTGTATGTGTGGCTTTACCCCTCAGCTCTGCATGGCCCAAAGGGTCTTGAAGCACTGGGAAAGGTCATAAAAGTCAGTCCAACCATGAGGCTTGTGCTATGGTGTATGGTGCAGTTGTTTGGCTCTCTGTTAGTGCCCATGAAACTATGGCAGGCCAACACTTCATAGTTCCTGAAACTAGATATTTGCCTATTTGCCATTTGGAAAGTGAAAACTTATTTAGGTCTGGGCCGGGTATTTTTTATTTCTCATAGTCTTTTTTTTTAATGCAAGACTCACTATGTAGTTCACACTGGCCTTGATCTGATCTTGGGATCCTGAGTGCTGCTGGGATTTATAGGTGCAGTGTCCATCTTACCCTTGGAGTCTTCTCCACACAGTGCTATCCTAGCTGAGGCAAGGGTGTAAGCCAATTGACTTCTCCTGATCTGTTTCTGAATCAGAATGCTTTGACTTTCTATGCATCTGAGCTTTCTATGGAGACAGAGTAACCATGTAAAAGGTGATTAATCTTTGATTAATGTGAAGACAAATGCCAAGACGCAGCTGGGTTCCAGGCCCAGCAGTGCTCTGCTTGCCATATGGAATAGGCTTATTTATAAAAAGAACACAAGCTGAGTGGAAATTTGAAATGCTGCTCTCCAAGAAGCAATGAGACAAAGCCAAATAGGATGGTTCTAGCAGTGCTCATTTGGGGGATGAGCAATGAAATATAACAAAACCCTTTAGCTATCGGCACCTTATTAAATCTCTCCAAGATGTGCAGTAGTCCTCAAAACAATAGGCCTGACAAAGTAATTTAAGTAATTAAGTGATACTTAATTACAAGCAAGTGTTAACTTTGAGCAAGTAAAAACCTTCTACCTGACCAGTGGGATGGATCAACATACTACTATAATCTATAGAAATAAATATAAACTAATATTTAAATATTTTAGTAAGCAGTACATCACTATACACTTTAAGTTATTTCATCTTTGAAAAGCTCTTTAATAATTCAGATGTTTTGACCAAACATCTAATTCTAAATACTACATTTGTGTGAGTTCATATGTAGTATGCTTTTGTGACTCAAATTTTTGTGGTGATTAGTTAATCATTTTGCTTGTTTTTTTTTCCTGGTCCTGGGGCTTGAACTCAGGGCCTAAGCTTTTTTTACTCAAGGTTAGTGCTCTACCACTTGAGCCACACCTCTACTTCTGGCTTTTTGGTGATTAATAATTGGAGGTAAGAGTCCCACGGACTTTCTTGCCCAGGAAGTTGTGACTTTTCACTTCAAACCACAATCCTCAGTTCTCAGCCTCTTGAGTGCTAGCTTCTTTTATAATTAGTATTTCTAAATAATTCAGACAGACCTTGAAGACCCAAAGGGACTTTATTCATATATCTCTGAAGATGCTCTTTCTCCAAATATGGCATTATCTGAAAAAGAGAAAGTATTTAGATAACATATTTCATAGTTTTCAAAATAACCTGAAGGGCAGAGAGGGTGGATATATTTTTGTTTGTTTCTTTGTTTTATAGTCCTGGGGATCGAACCTGGGTTCTCACAGGTGCTCAGCAAGTACTGTGCCACTGAGTTGTACTGTACCTGCAGTCCCTGAATAGTGGTTTAGAGAGAGAAAAACTAAAGCTTAGAAAAACTAGATGGGCTAGCAATGTGACTTAGTGATAGAGTGCTTGCGATTCCTCAGTGCCACATACAAAAGTGGCACTGTGGCTCAAGTGGTAGCGCATTAACCTTGAGCAAAAGAAGCTCAGGGACAACACCCAGGCCCTGAATTCAAGCCCCAAGGACTGACAAAAAAAATACTAGATGACTACATAAGATAACTTAATGGCAGAGACAGACTTGAACCCGTCTTCTGTTTTTAAGGCTTTACATTTAATCACACTGTTCTCCTTTCGGCCTCTGTATCTTCAAGTAGAAGACTAACAAGAGATCTTCCAGCTCTCTAGCTAAAAAAAATTCCTTCCCTAGTTTTCACGTCATTATTAACAGGAGGAACCTCAGATCCTCAAGTGCTTATAGCAAAATCCTAACTCTCCTCTCCACTCCAAGACTTAATGGAGTGTGTAGCTGGAATGGTTCCATAGGCCGTGCATTAAAGTTTGATCCACATGGTGGCACTACTGGAGGTAGTAGAACCTATAAGAGGTGGAGCTTAGTAGGAGGCCTTTAGGTCAGGGAGGCCTACACTCCAACGGGACTGTGGGGCCCCTGTCCCCTTATCAATGTCTGTTGCTCCTTAGGCATAATTTCAACAGTTTTGCTCTGCCATGCATTCTCCCATTACTGTCATCTTGCAATTGAACTGCCTGATCATGGAATCTGAACCTCTAAAACTGTGAGTCAAGTAAACCTTTTCTCTTTATATACGTTGATTATCTCAGGTGTTCATTATTGTAATGGATGATCTCTATATTGATTATCTCAGGTATTTGTTATAGTAATAGATCATCTAACCCACCGGGTTAGACCATCATAAGGCTAGACCATCAGTACTAATTTCATTCTATGCAAAGCACCCCCCAATAACCCCATTACTTATGTTTCTCCATAACATGTAACGAGTTATCACTATCTGATTTGGGTATCTATTTTTTTCTTTGTTTATCTGGCTCTACCCAATAAAATCTATACATCTTGAGGCAGGAATTTTGTTCATTGTTATACTAAGCATACAGAATAATGCCTGACATAAAGTATGCACTCATAAGTAATGTTGCATTACTGAATAAAGATTTCTGACTTGGATGCTGGTGTCTCACACCTGTAATACTACTCAGGAGGCTGATATCTGATGCTCGTTGTTCAAAGGCAGCCCGGGCAGGAAGGTCTGTAAGATACCTATTTCCAATCAGCCACCAAAAACTGGAAGTGGTGCTGTGGCTCAAAGTGCTAGAGTGCTAGCCTTGAGTGAAAAAGCTTAGGGACAATGCCCAGGTCCTTAGTTCAAACCCTAGTACCAGCACACACACACACACACACACACACACACACACACACACACACACACGAATACTAAAGCTTTCTGTCTCACACCAGTATCCAAAGAAAGAAAAGACTGTGTCTAATTTTTAGTTTATATATTCAGAAAAAAATACCTCTCTACTTCTAAAGATTATTCCATAGCAACTATCTAAGATTGTGGGAAGTTCTAAGTTTGTGAGCCATTGCCCAATGTCATGACTACTCAAAAGAGATCCATCAGTACTTCTATAAAAACTATCCTATGGCCTGATATTTATCCATTCAACCAACATTTTCTGAGTACCTAATGTGCCAGTGCTTTTAGGGTCTGAGGATTAAGCAATCAATACAATCCTTGCTTTCAGGGAACTTAACCTTTGTAAGGGAATGAAAAAAAAAAGTGGAGTAGAGCACAGCATGTTATAATGTGATATGGTTAGGATGGTTTCTGATAAATTGGCTTTGAGCAAAGGTGGGGAGGGGAGAGGCAGAGACAGAGTGGAGACCTAGTGGACAGTGTGTGCCTACTTTTGGATGTGGGAACCAGCTTGGCGTGTTTAGAGGAGGAAGAACGCAAAGCCATAGTGGCTGTCTGGAGTGAGGTCATGGTGAGCAGAGGAGATAAGGGGGTTGTGATACGCTGGGGCTTTATTTGGAAGGCCCTGAAGCACAGTGTGTAGAGTGTGGTTCTGAGTAAGTGCCCTAATGTGCATCTGTTAAAGGACACTTGGGCAGTTGTATGAAGAGGTATACAAGAGAGCCTGCAAGAGTGGAAGCTGGGCAGTCAGGAGGCCCTGCTGACCTTGGGGAGAACCATTATTATGGGCTGGACCAGGGTGGTGGCAGTGACTGTAGACAGGGCTGATGTTGGAGGATAGGTTGATGGGACTTGCCGACAGATTGGATGTGGATGTGAGGGAGGAGGGTCTGAGGGGTCTCCCAGGTCTTTGGCCATTTCTGAGTTGGTGGTAGTGATGGTGGTGGTGGTTTGTGTGTGTGTGTGTGTGTGTGTGTGTGTGTGTGTGTGTGTATGCCAGTGGAGGGGAGGGATTATGTGCTAGCACTGGTGAATTGGAGTAGTCCTCCATGAAAAATAGCAGTCTGGTACATGTAATCTGTTATGCATGGCTGGAAGTCAGAAGAGAGATCAGGGCTAAAATTAGCCATGTGGGTGTCATCAGAACAGAGAAGATATTTTAAGTCCTCCAACAGGTTAAGTCCTGTAAGCTGTCTACATAAGACTCACCTAGAGGAGAGTAAATGTTATTCAATGTTAAAAAAACAAAAGAGGGCCGTCTTCTATAAAGATGACTTTATTTTATAGTGGATGATGTTTATCATATGAAATCATACATATTTGTCAAAGCTTACCAACTAAGTTTATGAAATTTTAAAGGCAATAAACTGTCTTCTTGTTTTACAAATACATAGTATCTCTATAGCTCAGCTGCGATCCTAGAGCGCACACTCATCTATTCTCTCTCAGTCCATAGGAATGGGCTTCAGGTTTGAGTTTGAGATGGGGTAAGTTCTCTTTGTGGGTAAGTTGCCCACTTGACTGCTGTTTAGTAAATTTTTCTAGTACAGATTTTTTAAAACAATTAAGCTAATATTTTTACCTTTATCAATAATCAGATAAGTAACAAAGGTATTATTTTTTGCCTTACCATCTATTCAGAATAAAGTAGGCACTCAACAACAACAACAAAAATCCAGGCACTGATGGCTCAGACTGTAATCCTAGCTACTGAGGAGGCTAAGATCTGAGGCTCCTGGTTCAAAGCCAGTCCAGGCAGGAAAGTCTGTGAGACTCTCTTATCTCCAATAAACCACCAGAAAACTGGAAGTGGCTCTGTGGCTCAAAGTGATAGATGGTTAGGCTTGAGCAAAAGAGTTCAGGGACAGTACCCAGGCCCTGAGGTCAAGCCCCAACCCCCTCCCCCCCACACACAAAAGCTACGTATCTGTGGCTTATGCCTGTAGTCCTAGCTTCTCAGGAGGCTGAGATCTGAGGATCAGGATGTGCAGGAAAGTCTATGAGACTCATCTCTGATTAACCAACACAAAGCTGAAGTAGAAGTTGTGGTTCAGGTAGAACACTAGCGTTGAGCAAAAAAGCTCAAGAACAGTGGCCCTGTGTTGAAGCCCCAATACTGGCACATACTCTCTCTCTCTCCCTCTCCCTCTCCCTCTCTCTCTCTCTCTCTCTCTCTCTCTCTCTCACACACACACACACACACACACACACACACATAAGCTAAGTTGTATTTCTTTTCAAACAACACAAATGTGATTATTACATATTGAACTTAAAATACAATGGAGCATGTTGGTTTTCCATGTCAGACTGTATCACTTCCCTACACCATTTACTAAGGGCACTGGGCAAATGCAAAGTCACACCACAAGAAAGAAGTCAAATCTCCAATGTAGGCTTTTCTTTTGCTTCTAAACTAAATCATGTATTGATTATATTGAATATAATCGCTTGCATTTATTGAATAAATGCAAAAATGTTATCAGTTGTCTGCCCTGGCTAAGAAACAAGTGAAAACTTTCTTAGCCAAGAAACAAGTTTTTATTTGTTTCTTAATATTTAAAATAGCTGGTCTTTATCTGTTCCTCTCCTCATCTTGCAAAATAATATCACCACCCCATATCATTCCCCTCTACCCAAATATATTTTGGCTATTACTTCTTAGGGCATTTTGTGATATAGGTCACTAAAGTTTTGTAATATATGATAATTATGTGTAACAACTTTTCTCAAAGTGTGAAATCACTCTAGTTGGCTGAGAATACAGAAATCCAGCAACCGGTCAGACTCCTGTTGAATGAATCAGCTTGTAGCTGAGGCCTGGGATCCTGTAGGCACAAGAAAAAGAGAATCTGCTCTGTTTCAATAAATATAGGGTATATACTTGACACTTTTTCCTTCAGCCAGATGGCCTTTATCCTGTCCAGTAATCTTCATCTCCAAAAAGTCTCCCCACATTTTCTTGTAATTCTCTCCTACAGATTGGACAGGAATTCACACCTAACATCTTACTTTTTGGTGGAAAGTGCCTTCTCTCCTTGTGAAAAGGTAGCGTCTTGTTGATCCAGGAGCTCCTCCCACTCTCAGGAACGAATTCTTCCTTTTGGGTTTGGGTTTGACACTGGTAGGCATCGCAGAAATGCCTCTTTTGAACGCGCAGCAGGCTGACTTTATTGCTTCTTTCCACCTGACAGTTAGACTCACGCCTTTCATTTAGCTCTTCCAGCAGTTGTTTTCTGCTTATTTTAAGGTTTTTAATCCCCTGGCTGATTTTGTTCTCAGATGCCATTATGCTAACTATGAATGACCAAGTGATTCTTGCTACCTTGAAGAGAAAAAAAATTTAAACTCATATCAGTTGCCTCCTTAAATGCTACTGCACTTACCAGATCTTCTTTCTCTTTCCACAAAGTAAACCTGCGCCACAATTGCCCCATCATCACACTTCACCCAGGTTTTGTTTTGTGTTGTTTTGGTTTTGGTTGTAGGGCTTGAACTCGGGCCTGGGCGCCATCCCTGAGCCTGTTTGTGCTCAAGGCTAGCTCTACCACTTGAGCCACAGTGAAAATCATTAAATTAACTATGATAGGACATAAATCTTAAGTGTGTGTTTTTTAAAACTTAAGAGTCATGTTCTGGTGACTTATGACTGTACTCCTAGCTACTCAAGAGGTTGAGATCCTAGGATCGTGTTTAAAAGCCAGCGAGGAAGAAAAGTTGGTGAGACTCTTATAAGCAATTAACCAGCAAAAACTCAGGTGTGGAACACTTAGCCTTGAGTACAAAAGCTAAGAGACAGTGCATAGACCCTGAGCTCAAGCCTCAATACCAGCAAAAAACAAAAACTAGAGCAAAAAGAACTGGGGTATGACCAAGTGGTAGAGTACTTGCCTGGCTAATATAGAGCCTCAAGTTCAAAATCATCACCATCATCCAGATGGGCTCACTCCTATAATCCTAACTACTCAGGAGGCTGAGATCTGAGGATCACAGGTTGTAGCCAGCCCAGGCAGGAAAGTTTGTGAGACACTTATCTGCAATAAATTACTCAGAAAAAGTGGGATGTGGTGCTGTGGCTCAACTGGTAGAATGCCAGCCTTGAGCAGAAAGAGGCTTGAGTACAGTGCTCAAGCCCCAAGTTCAAGCCCCAGGACTAGGGAAAAGAAGTTCACTGAGGCTCCTGTTATTTTAGCACTTAGAAGGCAGAGGCAGGAGAACTGTGAGGCTAGCCTGCTCTCCATAGGGTCTCACTGGCTAGCCTAGAACTCCTTTTGGAACCTGGTAAAGGGATTGTGGGTTTGAGGCAAGCCTGAGCCACATAGCAAGTTCCAGCCCATCCTAGGCTACATACATAGCCAGTTTCATCCAGTCTAAGCTCAAGAAACTAAAACCAAAGTGAAGCAAAACAAAACACAGTTGGGACTTTCAAAAGGGTGACAACAGAGCACTAAGCCAAGTGAGGCCCTTCTGAGCATGGAGCCCCGGTGTGGCTGCACAGGTTGCCAGCCTGTTCAGCTGGCCCTCTGTATGACTGCTATGGGAAGGGTCAATCTCCAGAGCTAATTCTGCTAGTTTTACAGTCTCTTAGATGGAGAGAAGTTAGCTGCCTACCTCAAGTTTTTGAAGAGTGATCTGAAAGACTAGGCCATAGTTCAATTGATAGAGGATCTGCATAGCAAGTATGGGGAAAGAAAAGAAAGGGAGGAAGGAAAAAAGGACAGAGGGAGGGAGAAGAGAGGAGGAAGGAAGGAAGGAAGAAAGGAAGGAAGGAAGGAAGGAAAGGAGGAAGGAGGGAAGGAAGGAAGGAAGGAAGGAAGGATGTGAAGGAAGAGAAAAGGAAAAAGGAGGAAGGAAGGGATTGAGACAGAGAAAGGAGGGAGGGAGGGAAGAAGAAGAAAAAAGAAGAAGAAAAATAATTTGAAAATATTAAGCATGTACACCTTAATTATTAGTGGTTATCATGTTAGCAAGTTTGCCTATTCACTGAAATTATTTGCTACCTATAGCTCACATTCATGACACTTTCATAAGCATTAGAAGAAATGTATAAAGCACCAAAAACCTGGAGCCTCAAGATACCCACATTCGCAGCTGAAGCCTACTCTGTTTTGTTTCAGCTCTCATACTTAAAACCAGCATCTCCTTGTGGTTCAGTCTATTTAGTATCCTATTACCCACATTTTTGTGTCTTTGTTACTTCTATTCTTTAAGATGGCCCGAGTATACAACTGGAATGCTATCAAGTGTTCCTAAGTACTCCTGGGCCCTGTGTAGGCGTGTTACAGAATAGTTGGCCATGTGTTTAATTACTCAATTGCCAATGAACCATATATGTGTGTGTGTGTGTGTATATGACATATATATATGTGTGTATTTATATATATGTGTGTGTATATATATATATGTGTGTGTGTGTGTGTGTGTGTGTGTGTGTGTGTGTGTGTGTGTGAAAGAGAGAGAGACAGAGACAGAGAGAGAGTCTTTAAACATAAGCTGGTCACAGTGGTGTGCACCTCCAGTCCCAGTCCCAGCTACCCAAGAGGCTGGGACAGGAGGATTGCTTGAGTTCAGGAGGAATTGGAGATCAACCTGGGCAACACAGCTAGATCTCATTTAACAAAAAAAAGAGGGGCTGGGAAGGTGGCTCAGTGGTAGAGCACTTGCCTTGCATGCTCGAGGCCCTGGGTTCGATTCCTCAGCACCACATAAGAAAAAAGCTGGAAGTGGCGCTGTGTCTCAAGTGGTAGAGTGCTAGCCTTGAGCTGAAGAGCTGAGGGACAGCGCCCAGGCCCAGAGTTCAGGCCCCACGACTGGACCCCCACCCCCCCAAAAAAAGAACAGCCACTGGGTGCTGGTGGATCATGCCTATAATCCTTGCTACTCAGGAGGCTGAGATCTGAGGATCACGGTTCAAAGCCAGCCTAGGCAGGAAAGACTGTGAAATTCTTATCTCCAATAAACTACCAGAAAACCTGAAGTGGCACTGTGGCTCAAGTGATAGAACACTTGCCTTGAGCTGAAGCCCCATGACCGCCAAAAAAAAAAAAAAAAGAACACCCAAGTACTGGTGGCTCGCACCTGTAATTCTAGCTACTCAGGAGGCTGAGATCTAAGGATCTTGGTTCAAAACCAACCGAGGCAGGAAGGTCTGTGAAACTCTTTTTTTTTTTATTTTTTTTTGGGTCCGGTCGTGGGACCTGAACTCTGGGCCTGGGCGCTGACCCTCAGCTCTTCAGCTCAAGGCTAGCACTCTACCACTTGAGCCACAGTGCCACTTCCGGCTTTTTTCTTTTTGCTTATGTGGTGCTGAGGAATCGAACCCAGGGCTTTGAGCATGCAAGGCAAGCGCTCTACCACTGAGCCACTTTCCCAGCCCCTGTGAAACTCTTATCTGCAATGAACCACCAGAAAACTAGGAGTGAAGCCATAGCTCAAAATGGTAGAGCTCTGGCCTTGAGCAAAAGAAGCTCAGAGACAGCACCTTTGCCCTAAGTTCAAGCCCCATGATGGACAACAACAACAAAAACCCAAAGAACAAACACATCTCCTTCCATCACACACACACACACACACACACACACACACACACACACCATGAAAACAACAAAAATGAACATTGGAATTACACATAAAATAAGGTTGTATAGGGCTGGGTAGATGGCTCAGTGGTAGAGTGCTTGCCTTGCATGCCTGAGGCCCTGGGTTCGATTCGTCAGCACCACATAAGCAAAAAGCCGGAAGTGGCACTATGGCTCAAGTGGTAGAGTGCTAGCCTTGAACTGAAGAACTGAGGGACAGCGCCCAGGCCCAGCGTTCAGGCCCCACGACCGGACCAAAAATAATAATAATAAGGTTGTATATTGATAGATTGAGAAAAATTTTTGTGGTCAGAGACAGGAGCTTCATCTCCCTAGATTAGCATTTGCCAATTCAATAATGAGAATTGACTAGAGAGAGAGAAAATGTACTATTTCTACCTACCGGCACATTATTATAAATTACCTCCAATGTACAGTCCTTCAAATCCACAGGTGTGAATAGCCCTCTGAAAGGTTACCCTAGAGATGGAATGTTCTGTTTGGGGCCATCCCAGCTCTGTTCTACCTATAGAATCCTGAGTAAGAGAAGACTATTATTTACCAATCATGTGTTCTTGGAGTCAATCCTCCAGTATCAGCTTTTAAGTATACAATGGAAATATCGGTCCTTACCTCACTGAGTGGTATGTTTGTTGTGGAGGAGATAAAGGGGAAAGAGTTGGGTTAAAATGAAGTGGACATCATGCCTGTGCATCTGTGCATCATGCCACCATCAATTTCTCTCATATATTCACATTTCTTGAGCACCTCGAGGGTCACAGGGAACAAACTTGCCCTCATGGAATGAAATCCTAATCTAAGAGTTTGCGTCAAGTTCTCAGTAAGTTGTAGCTTTTTTTGGCCAGTCCTGGGGCTTGAACTCAGGGCATGGGCGCTGTCCCTGAGCCTCTTTTGCTCAAGGCTAGTGCTCTACCACTTGAGCCACAGCGCCACTTTCACTTTTTTTTCAGAGCAGTGTTCTGGAGAGCACAGTTACAATGCCAGGAGTGGTCTTGAGAGAGCCAGAGGTCTCTTGGGCTCCAGTCATGGAGAAAGACCAGAGAGGTAGGAACTGAGTTGGCTTGGACCATAAAGAAAAGGATTAGGTTAAGTTGAGAGAAGACAGGGGAGCATTTCCTCCCAGAGCATTCAAGGAAGATTACATGATAAGCATTGGCCTGGAGGAGTAAAGTGGGCCAAAGTAGGATAATTTCATCCCCACTCTTCCTCTTCAGCAGTGGTGCTATTATGTCTAGAGTATACTCTGGGACACATCTAGCTCTTCACTCATCTCACCAAGGGATCAGGTGTATAGGCAACCTCATTCAACAGGTTGGGAGATCAAGCTAGCTAATAAATACTTGTTACTATACCAGTGATAGTCATTCATGCACTGAAAAGTTTGACTTGGTTTCAGAGACTGTAGTCCATGATCACATGTCCCTGTGTTTGGAATTTGTGGTGAGGCAGAACCTTGTGGAGAGCACAAGGTAGAACAAAACTCACCTCATAGCAGCTGGGAAGCAAAGAAACAGAGGAAAGGGCTGGGGGTCCCCAATATCCCCTTCAAGTATGTACCAATGGCGTAACTTCCTTCCCCTAAGCCCCACCTCTTACAGGTTTCACCACCTGCTAACACCACCATCAACTGGGGACCAGCTTTTAACACATGAACCTTTGGAGGACATTTAAGATCCAAACCAGAGTCACA